TGGGGTTGACATGCAGGTGGGATCACTGGGGAAGCTGCTGGATACGGTGTTCCAAGCAGTTTGTATCATAGAAAATTAGGGTTGGAAATGACCTCAGGATGTCATCTAGTCCAACCCCCTGCTCCAAGCAGGACCATCCCAGCCAGATCATCCCAGCCAGGGCTTTGTCTAGCTGGGTCTTAAAAACTGCCAAGGATGGAGACTCCACCACCTCTCTGGGTAACCTGTTCCATAGCTTTACTACCCTCCTTCTGAGAAGGTTTTTCCTAATATCTAACCTAAGCTTCCCCCGCTGCAACTTGAGACTGTTGCTCCTTGTTCTGTCATCTGCCACCAATAAGAACAATCTAGCTCCATCCTCTTTCCTACCTCCCTTCAGGTAGTTGAAGGCTGCTATTAAATCCTCCTCTGTCTTCTCTTCTCCAGGCTAAAAAACTCCAGTTCCCCATAGTTTTTCCTCAGAAGTCATGTGCCGCAGCTCCTGCCCCACCCTTATCACTGCCTTCCACTGGACTCTCTCCAACAGAGTGGGCTTCTGCGCCCCTGGGAGAAGGAGCTGGGGGACAAGTCCCTTCCTCATATCTTCAGGGGAAGAGAAAGTGCAATACAAGCCCAAGGACAGCTGGGTTCCTAGCCCACATTTTCCCAGTGCTGCCCAGCCTCGTGCAGCACCCCTGAGCTGCCCACGTGGCTGGGAGCACGCCCCGTGGGGCAATCCTGCCCCAGCCAGTGTGCGGGTCCCAGCTGCCTCTGCCAGGGTCACATTGCCCTGCTGCATCCTGGGATGGGCTGGGTCTGCAGGAGTGAGACCTGCACCCACTGCTGCAGGCTCCCTGCCTGCCAGCCCTCCACCCAGCTGGGGAATGAGGGACAGGCTAATTCAGCCAGCATGGCTTCCAGGGAGCTGGTGGAGCTGCGAGAGGGGGAAGCATCCATGTCAGACACGGCTTCCCCATGCCTTTCCCTTTGCAAGGGGGGGGGGGGGGGGTGCATGTGCAAGCAGATCAGTGCATGTGTGTCAGTAGATCAGTGTGAGTTTGTGTGTACGTGTGTAAGTATATCTGTGTGTGTGCATGCAAGCAGAGCAGTGTGTGTGTAAATACATCAATGTGTATGTGTAAGCAGATCAGTGCTTGTAAGTAGATCAGTGTGTGCAAGCAGATCAGTCTGTGTGTGCAAGCAGATCAGTGTGTGTGTGTAAGCAGATATGTATGTGTGCATAAGCAGATCAGTGTGTGTATAAGTAGATCAGTGTGTGTGTGTGTAAAAGCAGATCAGCTCAGTCCTGGGCCAGTCCTAGCCATGGGGCTGTGACTGCCAGTCCCTGAATCACAGAAGCACAGAATCCTAGAAAATGAGGGTTGGAAGGGACCTCAGGAGGCCATCTAGTGAGTCCAGCTCCCTGCTCCAAGCAGGACTATCCCCAACTAGATCATCCTAGCCAGGGCTTTGTCTAGCTGGGTCTTAAAAACCTCCAGGGACAAAGAGTCCACCACCTCTCTGGGTAACCTGTTCCAGTGCATAGCCACCCTCCTCATGAGAAAGTTCTTCCTAATATCTAACCTACTGAAACAATCCAATGGATTAAATTAACCCCCTCTCTCTCTCCTCTTTCTCTCCCATGCAGTGGTCTGAAACCTGGCCACACTTTCAATACACTGCAGGGCAACTAGCTGCAGTAGAAGCACAGCTGGGGGACAGGAGGGGGTGCACAGGATCTGGGATGCTATAGGCATCTCACCATTTATCTGGGGCCACCCAGTTTTGAATGGATATGTGGTTACCTGGGCTAGGGGTATCAAAGGCAGCTAGACACGAGGCTTGGCCATGTAATTACTTTTCGTGCAGTTAGTTACAGAAGCCGATGCCCCTCAGCCATGTATCACTTGACTCCTTTCTGTTCTCATTAGATACTGAGAGCCGGGATCCCAAGCCTGATGGGGCTGGAGTCAGAGAGGTATAGAGAAGTAGGGCTGGAAGGGACCTCCAGAGGTCACCTAGTCCAAGCCCTGTCTGAGGCAGGATCATCCCTATTCAAACCATCCCATACAACCCATCATTTAAACCAGCGGATCTCAATCTTTTTTGTAACAGGACCCATCTGTAAACATCAATGGCCAGTGTTGTTGACCCAGTGCCCCTCACTTTCAACCCCCCATCCCCAGGCTCCCAGAGGCTCCCAGAGGGACAGAGGGGTTGTGGGATGGGGGTGAGAGGGGTGGGGGGTTGTGTGGGGCATGGGGGGCCCCAACTTGCCCTTCACAGGCTGAAACTCTGCCAGCCTGCAAGGGAAAACCCATGATTTCCCACCTTTCTCTCCTTTTAAAGGAGAATCCATTTTTAAAGTTTGTTTGCCACTCTTTCATATATTCTTGTCACCCACTTTGGGGTCCCAAGCCATGGGTTGAGAAAGGCTGATCTAAATACTACTTAAGGCTACCCTTCACCCTGACCCAACACAGCCCTAACACTCTCACCTACCACAGGTAAAGCAGGGGTCCTACTTGTATAAATTGTTGTGTGTTGGTTATTTGTTTGATTTAAAAGCTTTCCTTATGGCAATAAACATTTTTATGTATATGGGAATCTAACCTTCACTAAGCTAGACATAAATTGGTGTGTGTTGGTTATTAGACTAAACCAGGGGTATAGGCACAGTCCGAGGCAGTTTGCTTTTTGCTCCTCATTTTCCAAGGACAGAAGCCATCAGGGGTCATGAGTGCATAGAGACTGCCATTAGGATCAGACCATAGGGGCATCTTGCCCAGTCTCCTGTGTCATTTACCTGGCAGGGGAAATACCATGATCACCAGGGCGGTTTTCCTAGTCACACCTGGGGATAACCACTTTTCTGGCACGGGGTAGTACCTGTGGAGGTCATATATTGTAAACCTCCCACTTGCTGCTGGAGTGGGAAGGTCTTGGCTTTATGCTCACTTTATGGAAATGGGAGACTCCTCCCTAACTTGCTCCTGTGGCCATATGGCTGAGGGCAAGCAAAACTTGGGGGCATCCGAACCCCAAGTCTCCGGACTTGGGCCTGCAAATAGGATGCCCGCCAAAGGATTTGGAAACATCTGAAGCCCCAGGTGGGGTGGAGGATATTTGCCGGTTGTAGGGCCACTTACGGTTCTGGACTGACTCACGGATTTGGAATTAATTTTGACTTGGATTGGAACACAAAAAATTCTCTTAAAAAAAAAAGTCTCCTGTGTCACCCAGTGGCAGAGAGCAGATGCTGGAAGAGAGCCCTGGGTCTGAGCAGGGTACGCAGGGTCCCCCCCTCCCACTTGCGGCCTGCAGCAGGGAAGGTCCAGGCAGTTCTGACTCAGAGGTTGTGCCCCTCACTCCCACCCTGCCTGACTTTGTTGCTTTATGGTGTCAAATCTCTCTCCCCTCCCCTCCTAGCTTGGAAAAAAAGCCCTGACTTCTATGATCCTTTTTTTTTCCTTCTCCCCCTTTCTTTGCAAAGCAATGGGCTTGGCAGGGAGGTTACTGGGGTGGAGCGGGAGAAGTGCGTGCTAGTGGTAGGGATGGGGGGGCTGTTGGGGGGAGAAGAAGTGGATGATGGTGGTAGAGTGGGGGGGCTGTTAGGGGGAGAAGCAGGGGGTTATGGTAGTAGGGATGGGGGATTGTTAGGGGGAGAAGAAGTGGGCACTAGTGGTAGGGGGGGGGGGGTGGGG